CAAGAATCAGTATCTTGCTATTCGTGAGCAGGGTGTTTTGGAGGTAGAATTTTTACCGGTTGGTCTAAAAAATGCTCATGGATGTAGTCACAGGAAACAGATAAATTTGAAGAGTTGCTTCTGTTCAAAGTCTGGTTTTTGCCCTGGCCCCCTGCAGCCTACTGGGTGCAGCTGCAAACATTCTGAGGCGGCTGTGGTTTTCAGCCTGTGACTGCACGGTGTTTCTGATTCATTGTGCCTGTAAAAATGAAAAGAATCAAGCAGCAGGCTGTTGTTGGTAGATTTCAGTTTGTTGGACAAGGATGGAAAGATGCCAAGGGAGGAGTTCTGTAACTTCATGTTTAAATTTAAACAAATAATTTTCCCCCGATAAAGAGGTTAAACCAGCTTCCATTCAGAGAACAACTTTAATTTTGGAGAATAAAGAATGAGTATGATTATTTAAGTGGACATTTTGCCACCATCTGACCTTTACATTTGCTGTCCATCCTACGCTCATGCATAGCTGTTACTGCTTGCAGTAGTAACTGAAATGTGCCAAGATATTTCAGAGATCGAGAAGGAATGATCTTACCTGCTGAGTTTTGCAGCGATGAACACATACCTGTGTGCAGCTGACCACAGAGGAGCAGCAACTCCAGAAAGCACAATGAAATTGCTTATTATGGATTTGTACCTTTCCTCTGCAGAGCTTCCGCCTGGTTTCTCCTGAGCAGGCTTTGAAGGAGCTGGGCCTTGCAGAACATCAGTTGCGTTTCACCTGCCGTGTTCACATTCAGGACCCACGGAAAGAACACGAGACAGTACTTCGTGTGTATAACCATCTCAAAGGGTAAGTCCATTCTTAGCTGCATTTGTATTTTTCCCCCCTAGGGATGGACTTGAGCTTACAGTTCCTAATATAGGTGGTACAAGTGCCCCTCCCTTTCCAAACCAGCCCCAGAGAGTTAAGAAGAAATTCTCTGCAGCCCAGAAGACACAATTGCTCTAGTGGTTACACTGCAGAGGCTGATAATCAGCCTATCAGCTCATGGTCTTTGCCAAGCTAGAGCAGTCCACCTGAATTCTTTGTTCCTGTCACTACTAGCTGAAGTTAGTACAATTGTTTGGAGCGAGACCATCAAGCATAGGATCAAGGCACCTCCTAAAGCCATTCAAAAGCTAGCAGCCGATGAACCTTGAAGGCTGTTTTGTTCCCACAGGCAGCTGGTCAGTTCTGCGAGTAGTCCTTTGCTCAGATGGCTAGGGTTCAGACTGGAGCTATACCTATCATGAAAGCCAGAAATAAATTCCGTAGGAAATCCTACATGATTGATATAAGCATCAAAATAAGCAAGCTATGAATCAGACCCATTCTCCCTTCCTTGGGCAGTGGGTGCTGGTTCAGAGACACCGCTAAAAGTAGTAACAACTTGCTGGTGTTGAGGATTCACAGATACAGGGGGTGACCCACCCTTCAGCTTATAGGGATGTTTTCTCTCTTCCACCAGGGTCCTGAAAGATTATTCAGTGCAGCATCTCCCCGATGGCTCTATAACTGTAGAGTCCATTCTTATCCAAGCCACAGCACACTCGGAGGATCAAGGAACCAAAGTTCTGCTTGTATCCTGGACTTACCAGGTAGGAATACCTGAAGACATTCTTTTCAAGCAACTCTGGTCTTAAATCCTTACAGTCCAAAACTGTCCTACAGTGTGGGTTGCTATTGTAAGGGTGAGTCTTCATCACTCTGTTGTTGAAGTACTTTGAGTGGAAGAAGATGAGGTGAGTCACTGCCATTTTCTTTAACATTTTAGGTTTAGTACAAATCACTTTACAGGAGCTCTACTGAATCCCATTTTCTCTGGGACAACTGCTCTGGAGTAATTACACTTAATAGACTTACGGTTAATTACAATTATGTCTGTGTTTGGAGGACAGTATAGTATCTAGCTTCTAAACTCTCAGCTGTATCACTACTGCCATACAGCATGTTGGAGGTATTTTATATTGTATTTCTTGGATGTAAAACTTCAAACAAGCAGCAGAAAGTAACTAACACACAATTGTGGTAAGATTAGAGGTATCATTGTTTTTCTTCCTTTGCCTGTATTTTTAAATGCTTTCTTTACAGCAAGGAAAGGGCCTTCTTGAGGGCAAAGAACCATTATTTTTTTCTTTGCTTTCAAGAAAAATGGACGTTTTCCTCAAAAGACACACCTTGGGCCCAGACACCTACTTTGACAAATGGGAGTTTTACACTCAAATTTTGAAAGAAAACCCAGAAATGCATTTGTACTAACTGGTTTGGTTTCCCTTTGAACACTGCTAACATTAGATTTATGATGGGTCCAAGAATTAATTCAGTCTATTTCTAGGTACCAGCGTCAAATTTATTGCCCAAATGGGAAAGTCCAGTAGAAAATGCCATTCATCCTGTTTCTCTTTTATTCTCTCAAGGATGAAGAACTGGGCAGTTACCTCACATCCCTTCTGAAAAAAGGACTGCCACAGAGCACAACGTGAGCAAGAGGCACAGTGGTGTTTCAGAAAGATTTAGATTTTATTTTGTTTACCATTGTTAATGTGTTTTTCTGGTTTTCTCTTAATAAAGGAATTATGGTGTACACCATTCAGCAGTACTGTGATCTTCCCCCTTGGAACCCTGTCTAGGGAGAGTCATTACAGCCTGGTTGAGAGTCCCTGAGGAACAAACTTTGAGATGCTTACGCTGTAAGTTAGAAAATACTCAGCATTCTTCCCCTCCCTCAGCTCACTTCCCTTAAAAACAAGGAGCTTTCAAAGCTCCACAGTTAAAATGCAAAGTATAAGTATAATGGAGGCAAGAGTATAAAGCCCTAAGCATGCTATTTACCCAGCAGTGTAACTTTTTTATTGTCCATACTTGCCTCAATGACAGCTAACAAGCCTGCAAGAAAGCTGCACTCCTAGGTGGAGTCTCTAATAAAAATCTTTCTTCCTCTGTCCAGAACATAAAAATTATGCTTAGTTAGAAAGAGTAATCCTCCAGTGCTGTGAAGTTTTTCCATAGCCTATAAATAGGACAAAAATAGCAGTATCTCATGAAAGGTAAAAGACTAAGTTGTCCTAATACGCCCTCAGAGGCTCTAATCATCTCCATGGTGCAAGGACTTGCACTTGTCTTAGCCCAGTGCAGCAGAGGAACACGGGAATCATTATATCTTAGAAAAGTTTGAGCAGGTTTTCTGACCAATATTTAAAAAAATCCCTCTATCTACGAGCAAAATACAGGAAGGGGGAGGTCAGCGGCTGACCCGTCATTAGTAACAGGTGTCCATTCAACATGATTCAAACTGCATGTAGCAATAATGCAAGTCAGGCCCATCCTAACCAATGTAATACTGCACCTACAAAAGCCATCTATTATAAAGCTTTAGTTCTATTATAATAATACCAGATCAGCTCTTGGTTTGCTTGCTGCTCATAATGCCTTTTTTCCCCCCCACAAACCAAGACCCCAACATACCCCTACACCCACGCTGCTTATTTTTCAAACCTCTTACCTCCTGTCCTTAACCGGAGAGTAGACTGTAGCATTGGCTGCCGTCAGAAAATTGGCTGAATATGGGCAGAAGCTGCAGTGTCCGTTGTTGTGCAAAGGAGAAGTTACTACATCATACAGCGACACGCTATCATTTATATCCCCGCACACCATTCTGCCACAATACTACTACTCCCTCCCTCCTTTAAGGTCTGTGGCAGTAGTTCTTCCCAATCCAATAGCGTGGCATAACCTGGGAACCCCAACCTGCTGCAGCAGGCCAGGTCAGGGTGTGACGTTTAGCCTGCATTTTGCACACTGATTTAGCACATGGAACAAGATCTGCCTAACTGTGCTCTTTTAAACAAGCCCTGTGACAATTTCCCTTGTGTTCTCATCTGCTCAGCAGTCTTGCGTGCCTGTAGACCAATGGCACATATGTACTTTATAATAAACACCGGGGGCGGTGTGAGAAGGAACAGAACAGTGGGTCTGTGTATCTGTTACCAAAAATCTCATCCTCTGAAGTAAACCATTGGCTTTTAAGCAGGTTTGTCAGCCAGGCCAGTGGTTTTCTGGTGACTCCGATAACCCACAAATGATAAATTCTCTCCGAAGTCTCATGTTTCACAGAGTGGAAAAATCAGCAGTTCTCAGAAGCTGCGTGGTTCTGTTAATACAAGAGAAGGGGTGCAACAGATCAGACGACAGATACATTTTGCAACACACACACAATGACTGAAAAGAGAGCTTTGACATTCAAACAGGACTGCACAGTGTAAGAACTTGTGCCAGCTGCTCAGTAACTTCCCTCAATGACTGTGTAGCAAGAGGAGCTTGTTTACTACTAGTCCTGCACAGGGTTAACTGACTGATAAATACTCGGATCTTCTAGAATTGTATTAACAGATGTCCAGCTTGAATCCATAGGCACATGATGCTAGAAACCCTGCACTGAAATGCTCCTTGGGCAGCCAATTAATTGATTCACAGGAAAGTATGAGAAGCCCTTATTTGGCTGTGGAATGTAGGCAGAAAGCATTTGTGAACCCAAGCTGGCTACAGCATGCCCCCAGGGAGAAAACACAGCATCCCTCCAAAATAGGAAAAAGCCAAGCACCACTGCCCTGATCCACTCAGCTTTCAGCATTAGTGTCAATTAGGAGGCAGGTTGCTTTCAAGTAACCCTTTCCTGGGCTGTACCGCTTTCCAGAAGAGAGCCCTGTGTTCTCCTACCAACCCCAAAGTTAAACAAAAGCAGACCAGAACATCAATGTACACGAATACAGCATGTTTCGCCACGTGCTCTCTAGGACTGTCAGAGAATACAGCTCCCCCAAGTACTGTCCTAGTTGGCTAATAAAAATATACAGCTGTTAGGCGCTTCCCTCCAGTGTTGGCTTTACGTAACAACCACCGTATGAAAGAATGGTAGGTTTCACAGGTTTGTTTCCAAAGAAACAGTTGGAAAGATGAATACTTTACTTACTTTAAGTAGTCAGTTACTTCCATCTCGGTGTTTTTTATTTCCATGTCTCTGTTGTAGTATATAAACATAGGAGGACTCCCCAAATTTCTGGTCACAGATGGTGTACACCATTTTAGACCTGAACCTGAGCTTGAAGTTGAAGTGCCATTGCTTGCTGGAAGAGGTGAAGTAGTACAAGAGTGGGTTAAGGCAACAGTTGAAACTCACGAGGGCTAAGGTGACTCTTCGCATTTTGTAGATCAAGTTGGTAAATGACTCATTCTGGATGACCTGGATTCTCATTAAAAAGTGAAGCAAGTGCGTGAGATGATAGGGGAGAAAGCACAAAGTACAAATGAGCAAGATGATGTAGATAGTGCTCAGGGCCTTCCTCTTGCGAATGCTGCGTTTGATCTGGGAGATCCGCTTAGCAATGAGAGGGTAGCTGATCAGAATGATGGAAAACGGGATCACAAAACCAAAAACTAAGGCCAGGATGTTGTAAGGTGCCATGCGGTAAGTCCAGCTGCTCGTGGCAAAGTTCTCAAAACATGCTGTTGTATTCCTCTCGCCATTGTTGTGGAGGGGACCTCCAAGGATAAGTGGAACCATGACACTTAAAGCAAGCACCCAAAGGACTGTGACCACCACCAGGTAATGGGTGACTTTGATCTGGATGTATGTGAAGGGGTGCGACACTGCAATGTAGCGATCAACACAAATGCAGGTGAAAAAAGCAATGCTTAGGTAGATGTTGATATAGTACAAAGTCCCAGTTATCCTACAAGCCATGTCACCAAATATCCAATTGTTCCAATTCAAGTGGTAATGAATTTTAAAAGGCAACACACAAACAAACAAGGTGTCTACCAGAGCTAGATTAATCATGTATATATAGGAATGAGAAGTGTGGTTTACTTTGCAGGACATGAGGTACAGAGCTAAGACATTTTCTATCAGTCCCAGCACAAAGACAATGCTGTAGATGACAGTAAACAAGGAATACTGGAAGTCTGCTTCCAAGCTGAATTCTGAACTGGCATTGTCAACTGTCTCATTGGATACTCCTTCAGGCCAGGAAATATCTGCCATGATGGCTGGAGTGTAGGGATATCCAACCCAGGATGAATGTCTTAAGCCATCCCTTACCTCAGGAGGTTCTTGAGTTTTATTTCATCTCAAGCGGGTAAAAGCTAAAGCTACCCAACTAAGCGATAATTCTGTTAAGTCTGGTGAAGTCTGTAGTTCAGAGGTCTGTGCTTGGTATATTTAGACGGCAAGTCATGTTCCTGTAAGGGAGAATAAATCATTTAAAACACCAGCATCTGAAGTTTACAGATTAGACAGATTATTTACTGGCAGAGGTAGCGTTTCCCCCTCCCTGCAAAAAGAGACATGTAGAAGCCTATAGCTTTGGCTAAGGGTGGGCCAGCAATTAGAGCAGTACAGGAGAACTTCAGCAGTGATATACCTTTGGAGGTCATGTAATTAATTTCCCATTCCTAAGCACTACCATAATTCCTGTGTCATTTCTGAGAGGTGTATGGTGTTATTACCCTGTCCTTAAAAAATTGCAGTGATGGACTGTGCAGGCTTCTCAGGAAAAATGAAAAGCAGTAGTTGCAAAAATACAAGCAGGACTGCTTTCTCAGTTACTCCAGTGTGACAGTTAACTCAGTACTCTGTATGACTGAACTGTTTTAACCTTGCTGCTGTGGTTTTATAAAGAGCACGTGTGGAACCTTCCTGTTAAAATTCAGAAATAGCATTTAAAGTGCAAAACTGAACCAGGTAGCTGGCATCCATACCAAGCTGTTAACCAAATCATAAAGAAGCAGCACCATCCCTACCCCGTTTAGGAGTGGTTCAGAGTGGATTGGCAGTAGTATAAACAACTGCAACATAACAGTAAATGGAAGAAGGGTTCAGCACTTCAGACAAGATGTGCCAGGTATCTTGGAACAAACTTCATTTGCAGGAGAGTATGTAGTACAGGATACAGTCCTAAGTCATTGTAAGACCTGATAACATCCATGCAGAGAATCTCAGAAAAATAGGGTTTTTTCCACCCTTCCCACCCACACTTTTATACCTTAGTTGAAGTTCATACATGAGTGGGAAGGCTCAGCATAAGCTGTTGGGTGAATTTACAGCACCCTAAACCTACTCTGCAGGCACATTGCAGAGGGAAATCACCACTCATCTCAGTTACAAAGGGAGCCTCAAGGACTAGTTTATGCATTTGAAATACGGGAAAGAGGCACTGTACAGGTAGAACTCCTCACCTAGGTCACTCTCATCACGTAACCAATAAACTGCACTCCAGCGAGGCAGTTTCTCTCCATCAAATATACAAGAAACCTGAGTACCTAAGCCAAACATAAACACCTAAACAGAAGCCCTTAAAGGCAGTGGAGAAATAAAAACACAGCTACAACATGCACGATGTTCCTAAAGTTGAGCCACTGAAAGCACAAAAATACAAAGGTTGTTGGGTACTTTCCAAAGGAAACTCTAAAATCACACTTCCTCCCAATAGCTGTTTATCTGATCAAGTCAAAAGCACCCGAGATGATAACTGGAAGACTAGAAAGGAGAAAATTGGTTTCACTTGAAGTAGGCAAGCATACATATCTGCTTACATGGGTCTTTCACCTAATAGCAAGGGGTTTGTGTACACACACAGAGGAAAATTAATACAAAATCAGGCATAGCTGAGCTGTAACTTTAAGCAGCATAGGACTTGAAACAACCTTTATCTTGGAGTTTTGCCAGAGCAAGAGGCACTTGGTTCAAAGTATAGCATGGCAACCAGGGAAAGTTAAGGTAGAGGCCTGTAAAAATCATTAAAGAGGCAGGATGGCAAAGGGGACTGATTAGCTACCGCTTGTCACAAGACAAGCACAGTAAGGACATCCATAGACACTATCAGGTAACAGCTCCAAAACAACAGGAACTTTTCCAGACAGCACATACATTCATAGAATAATAGAATAGTTTGGGTTGGAAGGGACCTTTAGTCAGCTAGTCCAAGCACCCCGCAGTGAGCAGGGACATCTTCAACTCGAGCAGGTTGCTCAGAGCCCCGTCCAACCTTGACCTGGGATGTTGCCAGGGTTTCACCACCCTCAGTGTGAAAAATTTCTTCCTTCTATCTAGGCAAAATCTGCCCTCTTTTAGTTTAAAGCCATCACCCCTTGTCCTATCACTTCAGGCCCTGCTAAAAGGTCTGTCCCCATCTTTCTTATCAGCCCCCTTTAAGTACTGGAAGGCTGCAATAAGGTCTCCCCAGAGCCTTCTCTTCTCCAGCCCGAACAACCCCATCTCCCTCAGCCTGTCCCCACAGCAGAGCTGTTCCATCCCTCTGAGCATTTTTGTGACGTCCTCTGGCCCCGCTCCAGCAGGTCCGTGTCTCTCCTGTGCCGAGGGCTCCAGAGCTGGACGCAGCACTGCAGGGGGGGCTCCCCAGAGCCGGGCAGAGGGGCAGAATCCCCCCCTCGCTCTGCTGGCCACATTGTGCAAAGATTCTGTAGAAGCTAGACACAGCAAGGGTTTCTGTATGCTTAATGCTGGCTGACTGCTGCGAGATGGCAAAATGAGTCTTGCTAAAGGACTGCCTAAATCTGATTCCACTTGGATCCCTGGCAGTACGGTTACAAGGCCTTACAAAGGCACAGAAGCTGCTTGCACCATGATACTACAATAATACCGTTTGCTTTTAGCACCTGTAGTCTCATTTAATCCCCTAAATCCCTCCCCATCTGAAAGAGGGTCCCACATTAGGTCTTACATTCTTAGAGCAGACAGTGGGCTACACCGAGAGTCCAACCGATGAGAAGCAAGAGGTGAAGCTTGTCCCAGGCATGCTTGTCCCCACTAGCGCTCACCATCCCTAGATGTAGCCCATCGAGTAACATGAACCCATATAAGCTCCACTACAGCACAAGTAAGGAACAGTGGTGGGGGCAGGGGAGGATAATAAATCACTGACATGGAGTATTTTCCAAGTCTTTTGTAAGTTATTCTTCTACCCAGTTCCAAACAGTTATACACACACAGCAGGACCCCACCACGTACATCAATCTGTTTGAAAATATTTTCATTCCCTGGGAGAGGTACAGAAGTGAGTCTATGACTAAACATATACTTTCCAAGTATACAGCCACTTTCATCTCTTATAATAATGTACCATTTACTTATCTACCATTAAAAGTATGGAGTCTGATCAAGTTCCAAATTCAGCTTTGCTTCCTCAGAGTTGTTTTGTTGTTTATTGGGAGTGAGGGGTGGGGTCTATTGTTTCTTCCCGACAACCAAAAAGCACCACTGGACTTCTGTTTCTGTACAAAGTTATTTGATCTACAAAAACATAGAAAAGCACACAAAGATTCTACTGGATTTTGCATTTGTTAAATTATTAGAAATGTTTTCATACAAAACCAAGCTTGAGCCTTTGAACTCTGCTCAAGCATGCGTTTTTTCTGGTTTTAGTTTTAAAGCATCACTGTCAAACAATCAGGACAGATCTCCCCAGGTACTGGATGTCCAAATTGAGTCAATTGAAAAGAATTAGTAATGCAACAACATAAAAAGGAAACGAATGCTAAATACCTCTTGATAATAAGTATTAATGATGGACACCAAAGAAATTATTCAGACTATGAGTTTGTACAGAAGTTCTTTACTGATGGTACATTTTATGATACTAAGAGAGCATGTTCTTTAATTAATGTCTTCAGGTTATTTTTAAACACAGTTGCTCTGGGATTTCAAAGACAACACAAAAGCCCACAACAGTTCTTTGTACTAACTGCACAGCTAGCCAGTTAGTCTACTTCCAGACTACTGTCTGGATAGCTGAACCTGGGTTGCTCAGTTACTGGTTTTGATAACAAGCCCATAAGCACTGTAGTTTTTTATGTAACCAGAAGCTGGGAAACATTTGCAGAAATAGCAACAGCAGGTATTTTTGCACTGCAACTACTGAAGAAAAAACAAACCCAAAAACCCCACAGTGTACCCCTCAGGTACCTGAGCCTGCAGTAGCAGTTAGCTTAACACCCTAACAACATTAGTATTTTGTTTGGTTTTCTGCCCTGTAAAGACTCATAATAGATTTAGTTAGAAAGTTAACTTACCAGAGCTCAGATCATCGTCTCTCATGCAAAAGCTGTAGATGAGTACACCAGCCTCTCCAGAGAGTCCTCACCACTACGAGGTCACTGCTAAGCTCTTTTGCGTAGAGTTTTAACGGCAGAGCAAACTTGCCTGCAAGACACACTGCAGAGCTCTCCCACATTGCTCTTCGGAGACAAACCACAGGAAGTGAAGATGAAACGCTGTCACTCGGATCCAAGACAGAGCACTTGCCCTGCTAGCGAAGTGTCCCCCTGCAGAACTGGGCAGAGAGCACAGCACACAGCCAGCACTACTTACTGCCTGCTTTAGTTCTCTCCATGTGTCGTTAAGACGAAGGCACGATACTCCCACCCAAAGCAACCCTTGATCACCTCCAGCCTGCCCTGCCCTCCAGTCCCAGCAGTCTGCAGAGCAAGATCTGCCTCTCTGAAACCAGGTACCAGTGCTCCAGTCTGAGACTCTTTGAAATGGGCCTGTAGCTGCACTCTCACTTCCCTTCAAAGTGGGGAAGAGCAAGACTTTGCTGCCATTCCTTTTCAGGCAAACCACTGTCTAAAAACATATAGGCACATTAGGGTTTAGACTACAGATGGACAAACACCACCACTGCTTGTATTGAAAAATCACTGCAACATGTTACAGCATCCCTGCCTCTGGGTACTTACCCAGCAAGGCTGTATCAGAGAAGCACAAACAGGTACCATGCTACAAACACAGCAGCTTCAGCTCTCCTTTTCCATGGTAGAGACCCAAGACTCCTCCAAAGTTCTGTCATCTTCTTTGGGAATTAGTCCCTGAGGGAAGTCAGCATGCTCCACAGGAAGGGAGAGAGTAACCAGAAGTATCTTCCCTTTCCTTCCCATGCTGTCAAAAGTAGGTCTCTGGCAAAACTGCAACCTGGAACAGACTGGGGAAGAGATGCATCACTTCTCATGAGGAAGCACCTAGAAATGGACTGTCCTCCTATTCTGTATCAGGACCACTCACTGACTTGATTCCCCCACTGCCAAAAGCAAGGGTGGCCTTAAGAGAGATCAAAAAGAACTGCTGCCTTCCCCTCTGCCTACCTTGTGACTCTTCACCATGCAAACAGGGAGTGGAAACTCCACAGACTCTCAAAAGGTTATTAAGATTCTTCCTTTATTTATCTGAATGTGATAGTCTATATCACTTTGAATTGTAACATAACAAAGAACATCCTCTCACCAGATCAAGTGGGCCGTCTGCTCTGACAAACTGGATTTCTCTGTATTTCTTCTCTTCCTCTAAGAGACAAAGGGGAAATTAATTATGGTGGTAATGGGCATCTCAGCTGCACATTGGTTCCACTGAAGGAGTGTTTAAACCAGGTATTGTTTCTTCTGTGAACTTCAGAAGTCAAAATTTTCGTCCTCTGTCCTGTAACCTAGCACTCTTAACAGTCATTTTACAACCAAAACAGACAAAGATTCTGGTGTCATTCATGAGGAAAAAAAAACCAAAACACCAACCACAAGTTAGTCAATGTGTATTTTGTTTGAGCAAGCAGGCAAAACCTGAGGTTAGAGTGGTTTAAAAAGAAAAAATATATAAAAGAGAAAAATAAAATAAGTTATCTCTGCTCCCTGTTCTGCACTAGGATTCACATGCCCTTAGATCAGTGAGACTCTAGCATGCTCTGCAGTACCATTGCACCAACAACTATGGAAGAGCAGAAGGTGGCAACAAGCAAATCAGAGCCCGGCAACAGCGTGGCAGCCACCTTCTGGCTACAGAGCCTCCACTGCAGAAAGTGCTTCATTTCATGGTTAGGCTGACTCACTCACTGTTGTTTCTGCAGCTACTAGCCCAGGCTGTGACCATTACAACAGGTTTTAAGTGACCTCAAAGGAACTTTTCTCTGTAACATGCCACATCCTAAGCGCAACAGACATGACTTTGTACGAGGGAACAGGATACTGTAAAAGCCACTGCAAGTCCAGCAAGAGAGTGACTGTTGATGAGGAGAGGAAATGGCGAGTACTTTCAAAGACTGTTTCTGTAAGTCACTGCATTAAACAGTAACAGTTGTCCCTTGCACTATGCTGTACAAAGGCAGGGTTACAGAGGAGAGAGGCAGAGAGGAAAGGCTACATTTTCCTCTGTTCTAAGTCTGTATCCCTCCCACATGCACTGCAGAAGGAAAAAAACAAAAAACAAAAAAACACCCACCAAAAAACCCAAGCCCCACACCTTCCTCCTCCCGTCTGACAGACACGCACCAGAATTTTGGGGGGGGGGGGGGGGGGGAGACATTTATTTGA